ACTTGCGCTTGGCAACATGGTTGCATTCGCTTTTCTTCTGCGATCAGCCTTGACCGCAGCGTTGGAAACTTCTTCATGAGGACAGAGAGTTTCTTCTTGGTGTAGTTTGCTCGTCGATTCGTTTCCAAGTCTTGTTCTTGTTGTACGTGGCTTGTTATCGTTGTCAGACGAGGACTGAGACTTGGCTTGGCTTCTTCAGGTCATCAGTCAGCAGTGTTGTGAGTGCTGGACTCGTGGTAGTCACACATTTTTCTTCGTTCTTGAAGAGTGATCGTTGTTGCGAGTAGACTTTGACTTCTTGCTGTTGTTCTTCTCGAGGAGCTTGCTTGGTATACCCGCCCTTGTTAAAGTCTTCGGGGATTCCATGCGTTCGCAAAATCCAATGGTTTCTCCGATAGGAGCTGAGAAAGATCGAAGTCGTGTTCGTCATCTTCTTCATCCACGAGTGGAATTCCATGACAAAACATGTCAATGACTTCGTCAGGTTCAACGTTGGTTGGTCCAAAAGGTGTAGTCAACATTCAGTATATATAACAGGGGGATTTAGGAATCCAGTAAATATAACAGGTGTCTAAATATAGAGCTTAATGCTACTAACCACTAGTAAAGAACGAGTGAGAGTGCATCACGTTTCGTTTGCCAGCCTTGTGCGGCAATATTCAAGGCTCTGGCAAACCTTCGCCTTGGCTACATCGTTCTTTGAACCTTCTTTCGGTCCCCTCTTCGCTCCTTTCTTCTCTTGCGTTGAATCGGCGCGTAGTTGGCGCCGTTCATGTTGGTCTGGTCGGATTGGAGGAATTTTTATGGTTTGCTTGCACTTGTTTTGTGGCTCAGAGAATTGTTTTTGTCTCCTTCTGCCATTCTGCGCAAATCTCGCGAAAACACCATGAAAAACCCCCGAACGAAGATTTGCGCGGACTGGCAGAAAATGGACAGGCAAGCGAACTCCCATCGGCACCTCATCGGCATGCATTGGCATGCATTGGCATTTACACGTATGTCTCTGTCGAATTGGACGTTTGCGATGGATTGCGAGCATTGTTTTGCTGCTACGAGATTTGCTGAAGGGTGTACTGACGTCATTCACGGTCATCGTGACTGGGGGGGGAGACTCGAGATATAATAAAATTATAGAGGGAATAAATAAAGATTATAAATATAAGCGACGTTAACTGTAGACGAGAGTCATCGGTGTTCATCCGACTGAGGTTGTTGACATAGCCGAGTAGACATATCACAGGCTTACGCATCTTGGGGGGCATGAAGCGTTTCTGCTTTTCAAGAGCCTTGTAGGGACAGACGCTTTCGACACAGGCATTAATGCCAAACGTAATGTCAGAGTCGTTCCAAAGCAGGCTGAGCTCCTCCGTCCCAGGCATTCTGGAAACGTGCTTGAAAAGTGGCTTCGTCTTCAACACCACGTACGTCGCGTGAAGGAATCGCGTTGACTGCGCGTTCCGTTTTTGGATCGTGGAGTGAGTAGGATTGCTACCGCAACCTACTCTATCACACTTTACAGTCTCCCACGGGAGTTCAGATCTACGATCCTTTGGTTGTGGATCTCTCTCGTTGATTAGTTTTCATAGCTTTCTAATCCTCTCATAACTTTCATTCTCTCAAACTCAAAACACTCGAAAGATCTTTACACTAGCTTTTAGCGTAGTGCAGAGGAATGCGATTCTCAGCTTGCCTTTTGACAACGGACTGTCATCAGAATCTGATCGTCAACTACGGAGTTGACCGGTTGCAAATTTTAGTTTGGTGGTGGTGTGTCATCACTTTTTGTCTTCCTTTAGGGTTACAGGTTAGGCTTCATTTTAGGGTTACAGGTTACCTGCCAAGGGAAAAAGCCAGTTTATACAATTACGCGGTACCGGACAGATGTAACCCAACAACCCAACTCCACTCCTCATACCGGCCCAACTCCTCCGCTGGCTAAGAGGGTTGCTTGGTAGCTCTAGCAGTAATGCTAACTACATAGCTGAGGCTCTCAACAGGAGGAGCATCTGTCCAGGAGAAATGCTATAGAGATGTCAATGACTGGGAAGCTGAGGCTAACTACCTGGGCTCAGGCCAGCAGGGGTGGTACGAACAGAACTGGCAGGGGCTCGGATTAGTAGGACGAGGGAAGGAGCTAGGAAAACTGCTAGGGAGCCATGTCACTAGCTGGGAGGGTTGCTTGGTAGCTAGCAAATGCTAACTAACTTGAACTTGAGATGGAGCTGGGAGAATGCTGCTTTGGAGCCCTGTCACTGGAGAGTTGCTCAAGTGGTAGCTAGCTATTTAAAGCAAGTATACATTCTGGGAGCCCATGGCAGTAAGTATTAGCTATTTGCCAATCAACTGACAGCACTTTTGCTATTTCTATTTCCGTAGTTGGTGTACACATTATAGCAGGAGCTGTAGCAGGTCTGTGGCTCGCTCATCTGTAAAAGCCATCGTACGGTGAACCACATTAAATTTTCGTGAGAGCTATGGTAGCCACAGCTCACTTCACTTCTGTTCCTGTGGTACTGGTAGTTCTATCAAAAAACAGCAGGGGAACCGGGGACCGAGCCTGGTTTTTGACAGTCTTTAGATTCCGCCCCTCCGGGGGTTCAAACGACAGTACCGTTCTGGTAGCTTGTAACCACATCTCACCGACAACAAAGCTATCCAACATCAAACCCATTAGACAATCAAACGCAGAGCTTTGCCGATGCCGCCGCCACTACTAGCGTTATCATTTCCCCTCTTCTTGTGATTGCCGCCTTTTTGGTCCCCATCTTTCTTGTCGTCGCCTTCATCGTCATCGTTATCACCACCACCATGATCGGAGCCATCAGAAATAGGAGGAGGGGCCAGAAAAGGACGAAAAGTGGGCAAGGCACCAATCATGTAAAGGCAGTCCATAATGTCTGGGTTTCCCGCGAGAGTTGGAAAAGGGATAGCTGCGGCAACTATGGCATTCAAAAACCTAGGGCGTTTGGCTGCTGCGTGTTGATGTTGCTGTTTGGCACAGCGGCCACGTAACCAAAAAAGCGTACAATTCGAGTCGAAAACCAGCGTTGTTTGCTGCCAACGTGTTCAGTCCAGCGAGATTTGTTGCATTCAGCAAAGGAGCCCACACATGTTGGGGTGTGACCTGCGCCGTGTTCTGTTGAAGCTTCAGACGTTCCTTCTCTCTGCGAATTCGTGTTCTCAGCGCTATCCCTCTCTTGCGGCGCCCCTCTTCCTCGGCTTCGTTGAACGCAACGAAAGCTACCTTAATGACCTTCTTCTTCTTCTTGTCCACCCCGCTATCCCCTGCTTGGTGTTCTTGTGCAGGATGCTGTGCATACGGTTGAATAGCGTGTTGATTTGGGTTGTGGTCGGCACTGCTGCTTTTGCGGCTCCTGCAGGGTTGCTGCTGCTTGTGTACGACTGAAAAACCATGATGAGTCCACTCGTCGTGTTTATTTATTTTATTAGCGTGTCCCAAATAGTGAAGTTTGGACTTTTTTTCGATTTCGAGTTTCGACTTTTATTTCGACTTTTGTTTTTGAACTCGAAACTCGAAATCGAAACTCGAAACTCGAAATTTCGAATTGTTTGCTTCAGAAGAAATAAAGTCAAAACTCGAAACTCGAAACTCGAAATTTTGAGTTTCGACTTTCTTTTTCGACTTTTCTCCTTAGTAATCAATCAATCCCACTAGATATTTAGCCAATCCCAATCCTCTAACCTTAGTTTTAAAAGCTAGACTACATGTAATATGGTAACATAACAAGACAACTCACACTACCCGCTACCTGTACTACCGTAATACTGACTGCTACTGCTTGTTGGTCCACGATAGACCGATCGCTGTTGTTGCTTATTGTCGACCGCTCGAAGCCGCCATTGTGGAGTGTTCGGCAATTGTGGAGTGTGGAGTGAGGAGCAAAAGGGCATAGCTTTCGTGTTTTGATGGTTGATTGTTGAATTTATGGCTGGCTACAGCTGGAGCTGAACAGAAGATGTTCCTTGTTTCTTGTTTCTTGTTTCTTGTTTCTTGTTTCTTGTTTCGTGTGTTGAGTCAGAGAAGATCTGACTGTTACCCTCTCTTAACCTTCCATTAGACAACAGCCAGTAGACGAGCAACAAGTGCATTTTTCCATCTTCTAGTACAAAGTTCACATAGCCATACTAGAAATTGTATTAGAATGTGGAAAATTGTTGTTATCTGTGGATATGGCCATTGTTAATTCATTCCCACAAACCACCTTGACAACACACATGGTTGGCTAAGAGAGGGTGAGGGATGGCCACCGACTGCCTAATAAACATGAAAGCCACTCGTATCCTTCGCGTTTGTTCCTTATTTGAGCCTGATCCACTTCTCCTCTTTCAATACTCCTCCTCTTGTTCATTATTCTATTCTTCTTTGATACCTCAAGATGTCTCTACCATAACAGGCTCCTCCTCTCGTCTGGATATGACAGGCTGAAAGCAGCAGCAGCGTGCTTCAGTTCGATAGTAGGCATCATTGTTATCGTAGCTAATAATGCAGATCAAAATGCCTAAATGTAAAGTACGACCAAGCCTCCAATTCCTATCGTTTTAGCTCTTGTCTCCCCATGGTTGAGATGATTGTGGCTTCCTGTTGTTGCTGCCTGTTGTGCCTTGTGGTTGTTGCGCTGAGTCTATGACCCCCAGATCACGTAGAACGATCAACTTTAGCGAGCGCTATAGAAGTTTTAGTACTCTAAGTTAACAGAACACTTTCTTTCTAATTCTATCCCTCTGTTAACACGGCATATTGCGATAAAACTGCTGTTCAGAAACAAGTCAGAAAAAGACCCCAAGAGGTGGTCGTGGAACGGTTCGGGGTACAGTCTCTTTACAGTAGTTGGAAGTGCTTCCTCAATGAAAGCACAAGTGAAGACGCCGCAGTCGTAGCCGTTGAGTTGTATAGGAGTTGCAGGGGTAGATTCACGAAGGGACCAATCTCGGACGGGGAGGGCATGATTGTGCACTCGTTGGTGCTCATCGGCGAGGTATCAAAGGATAGCTTGGAGAAACCGTGTGTTGGTGGCTCCTGCAGAATCGTAGGCTTGAATGCGTTGTTCCTGCATGAAGGCAACGATCACCATCCAGTGGCTTCGGTTGACATTTACTGGGAGAGAAAGTTTGTCAAGTGCAAAGACGTATTGACCCGGGGCTTGTCGGGACCACATTTGAATATTGGAGTAGCTGTAGCTGCCCTGAACGGTTTGATCAAGGTCACCCATGTTCAGCAGCTGAGTCATGAAAAAGGACTTGAAAACAAAGCTGGGTCGGTGAGCGTCAATGAGAGAGGCTTGGAAAGCATCCCGCACAACAAGGAGTCGCAGGAATCTATGGATGGCTTCGTCTTGAAGCCATGTACCATCGCGGAGCGAGTGAAAGGCCCGTGGACTGATGCTGTTGGAAGGGCCAGTGGCAAGCTCAGGTGAAGCCCATGCCTCCCTGGTGCGTTCCCGTTGGACTTGAATGAGTGGTTTGTTGAGTCGTTGGGGAGGGGCAGGTGGCGGTGGGGCTGCCCGCAAGCTGGATGGGGAGTCCGGCGGAGACATATCCTGATGAGCCAAGCTCGTGCCCACGCTATCAGTATCATCATTGTCATTATAACGTGTGAGGTCCGGGGGTGGTTGGACCATGGATGGTTGTGTCCACCAGGGGTAGCTGCGTGATGTTGGTGGGGGCGACTCGTGCTGTTCTTCGGTTGGAATGGGAGTGGCTTCTTGGCAAAGCTCGTAAATTGTTCGGTTGCTAATGTACTGAGCAATTGTGTTCTGACAACGGCGAATATATTCCTCAATGGGATACAGTCCCGCCATTTTGAGCGCTCCAGGAATCGGTGGTTACACCCATTCGTCGCCATGCTTTCTGTATGGCATTTTGCCAGCGATGCAATGGGCGACGCAATGATGAAAACCCTCTAATGTCTGGAGCACAGTGGGAGTCACAACCCAGGTCTCACTGTTGTACAGTAACATAGACTGAACGATAGCTTTGTAAAACATTCCAACAACCCGTGGTTGCACACCAGTTTTCAAAAGTAGGCGGGAAAAGAGGGCCCAGCCACTTTTGACGTGCCTTGCTGAGGTTCTTGTACACCGCAGGCCAATCACTGTTATTGGCGCATAAAATGCGGCCTAAATAGCGAAAGGAGGTGACGTTTTCAATGGGCGCTCCAAGGGCAGTGAAAGTAACTGCTCTAGATTGCTCCACAGCTGCCAAACGGGCTCGTTTTGCTTTCAAGTCGAAGTAGATGAAACCATGTGCAAGGATGATATCGTACGATACTACATCGACAGAGAAGGACATGACTTTGAACCATGGCCTAAGATCGCTAAAGGGTACGATAAGAAGGGAAATGATCGTAAGACCAAGACAGGGGAGAAAGTGACGGCTCTCCAATCATTTAGAAACAAAGAGAACAACAAAGCGAGGCAGTGTGCTATTGGAATTATTGTGGGCAAGATGTACAAAGAGTAAAAGTCATTTTAAGACCGGGTGAAGATTAAGACCATGTAATTTTAAAATAGAGGTTCTTACGTAGGATCCTACGTAGCTTTGGTACCAGAGCAATAGAGGTGCTTCCTAAGTGTTCCGTAGGATCTTACAGGACTCTCCTATGTAGGATCCTACACAGTTAAGTACTGTAAAGTCTTAAACTGCCGAGAAAACGAATTCGTCACAAAAGTGAGGATATTTTCAATCAACCATAACTCCACCAATAAGTACACTCTGATCTTGGGAATTTAATGGGATACTCAACAACATGTGCCCTTTCGATTCAGCTACTTAGAAGTAAAATATTCGAGATCCACCTCTTAAGAGAATAATCCGGGGAAAGGTTGGTCGTAAATCACATTTTACTCTACTTCATTGTATTGATCGCAAGGAAATAGAATAATCGGGATGGTTAACTGTCTGTAAAGAATTGTAATTCCTCCGTCGGTGTTTTCGAATAGAATTGTCCTCCACTGTTAAAAAATTGTAATTCCTCAGCCAGTGTATTCGAGGGTAGTTTTAGGTCTTTCAGCATCTGGTTCGTCAACACATTCGACACGTTGAATTTGCCGTATGAGACTTGCTTTCTTTCCGAAGTGCACATATATGTTTTTCTCCGCTTATCTACTGAGCTTCAATAGATTCTCTTGCCATGTTGCTAATTGCTTGGGATCTATTGGCTTCTTACCGGGATATGAATCTATTTTCATAAGCATAAGCTTGACAATCTTCTTGACTCTTGCAAACTTTGCTATGATGTTCTTCCACTATTTCAAGTATGGCTGCTTCGGACTTCATCTTAGTTGAGTTCATCTCACTGTAATATCCTAGCTTGGCTTCATTGTCAAAGAAGTAAACGAATACGTCTACCAATTTCGGGGTGCACTTCAAATGTTCATAAGGGTAGTACCATCCCGGCATCAGTGTCTTTCTGACTCTTTTGAAGGGGTTCTTTCTGGTAATCCACTGCAATGCGGTCAGCTATGGATTCCAGTAATTCAATTGATCACTTCCTTTCTGATCATAATTCCTTCAGTTCTGCTTCTAGGGCATCAATGTGCTTCGACATAGTGCCGATTTGCTCGCCTTGAACAACAGCTGTACCATGCAGCGATTGATAGAAAATAACGAGTTGGTTGTAATGATCCATAAACGTATAGGGATCAACAAGAAAGCTGTCGACGACCTCTGGGGCTTGATTTTGCATCGCTGGAATAGGCAATGCCAGGGCATTGCACTTTGCAAACCCATGTCTGATCTCGATTTGCCACGCTTCGAACGTTTCTTAAGAGACCTTTGCGCCTCTTACTGCATCGATTATGCGGTGGATGAATATGTGGTGATTGGGATTATGGTATACGTCTTCGGGATGGGATTCATAGTGGCGTAGGAGGGAGGAGACCAGGAGATTCCGAATTGGGGGGACCGGTCACAGTCATTGTCATATACAAATAGGATGTTAACGAAAATCTCAAGCTGCTTATGAACTGTGTGAGCAGTTTGTTATGTAACTTTCTCCACTTTGTCAAACCGAACACGTTTAACTCGAGACCGCAAGTGTGAAACTTATTTTGATGTAGAATACTTTGATGCTTGATGCATATCCAGTTGCGGTCTCATAGGAGACTCAGCCTTTATCTGGGTCTAAATATTTGTAGGCATCCTTGTGAAGGTAACTGAAGAAGTTGCCAATCATGTTGTTCCACCATATGTTGACTTCTTCGAAGGTTCCGTTTGTTTTTATGCCATAGTAGGTGAGATGACGACCACTGATAATAGGGAATTTAATCTTCTTGAAGTAGCTAGCGAGAAAGAAATCCGAATGCTTCAATGTATTCCATAGCTTTGAGTCGCTGGACACAAGGTGCACCGAAGCAACGGATATCCTGTTGTTGAGCTTCGTAATCCAGTTCTTTATCTTCTGCTGTTGTCACAAAACTGAGAGCGGCGGACTTATCAACAGAGATGTTCATCTTTCTTGCCTGATAATGATCCTTCAATCGTCAAAGAATCGGAAGTGAACCGACGATTGGGATTACGAATGATGAAAATTCGGATGACGCTAACAATGGGATCTTAGACGAAGATGACCCTATCTTCGTCGAGTGGTTGTTTGTTGTTGTTGTTGTTGTTGTTGTTGTTGTTGTTGTTGTTGTTGTTGTTTGTTGTTGTTGTTGTTGTTGTTGTTGTTGTTGTTGTTGTTGTGTTGTGTTTGTGTTGTTGTTGTTTGTTGTTGTTGTTGTTTGTTGTTGTTGTTGTTTGTTGTTGTTGTTGTTGTTGTTGTTGTTGTTGTTGTTGTTTGTTGTTGTTGTGTTGTTGTTGTTGTTGTTGTTGTTGTTGTTGTTGTTGTTGTTGTTGTTGTGTTGTCGTTGTCGTTGTCGTTGTTGTTGTCGTTGTCGTTGTCGTTGTCGTTGTCGTTGTCGTTGTCGTTGTCGTTGTCGTTGTCGTTGTCGTTGTCGTTGTCGTTGTCGTGTCGTTGTCGTTGCGTTGTCGTTGTCGTTGTCGTTGTCGTTGTCGTTGTCGTTGTCGTTTCGTTGTCGTGTCGGTGTCGTGTCGGTGTCGGTGTCGGTGTCGTTGGTGTGTTGGTGTCGTTGGTGTTGTTGGTGTTGTTGGTGTTGTTGGTGTTGTTGGTGTTGTTGGTGTTGTTGGTGTTGTTGGTGTTTTGTTGGTGTTGTTGGTGTTGTTGGTGTTGTTGTTGTTGTGGTGGTGGTGGTGTTGTTTTGTTGGTGTGGTGTGGTGGTGGTGGTGGTGGTGGTGGTGGTGGTGGTGGTGGTGTGGTGGTGGTGGTGGTGGTGTGCCGATAAGGCAGTAAGTGAGGGATGATTAGTAGTGCCGCGCATTGGTGAGGGGGTTCTTACTGGTTCACGCATGATTAGGTGATTTCTAAGTGAACTGTTAGAGTACCGTAGCCACAGTGGCGTTCTGTAGACCTTTACCTTCGGTCCCCCATGTTTTTTTTTGTCAATCGATTAAATGATTTCTAGTACAGGACCGGTATCAGCAGGGGCTTGCACTAGGCTCGTTCCTAAGTGGGCACCTTCGTGTGTCTGAGGTATATGAGTTCGTTACGGCACCGTTCAGCGGATCGTCTAATGAGGTGCAGCCTACAATAATAAAACTTCATCATTTTTCGCTATAGCTAGCTGCAGTACTAGACTAACTAGCTAGCTAGAGTAGCTATTTTAAAATAGCGATGCTAGTAACTGTTGCTTTCTTTGAGTACGCATTATTTAAAAGTTAAGTAAGTTATTAAATACGATAGCTAGTACGATTATTGATCTTGATTTGACATACCGGTAGGATAGTTCTCTTTTGATCTTGCGAAATATACTCAACTCGAAAGTTGAAGGACTTATCGATACCTGATACTCGGACTATTAATAGTCTACTACAGTATTAATAGTAGGCACGGTACCGAAGCTGACCGGTATGGTACACAGTGTGGCAGGTCTATGGCTCGTTCATCTGTAGAAAAGGCTGTGGTACTGGTAGATGTAGTCCAATGCCTTCTGAACTTCTGAAGTTCTCATCAAGGAGCTGTGGCCTCATCTTTTGGCTCCACATGCATATGCAGCCATCAATGTCACAATTCCGGGGGATGAAGAAAATCAATGACTCTCATGGAGACTGGTCTGCAGTGGGTGGGCTTTTAAAATTTAGCCATGCAGCAACTGCAAACCACTGAAGCTCCACTGTTTTGCAAAACCGTAGTGGTGCCCATCGCTGTCTTCGCACCACGTACCACTGTTTATCACTGTAAGAAATGACAGTGGTTGAAAGTGCCATGGTTTACCACTGTCAAAGCTACTGTCAACCACTGTCTTTGGTCATAGGTTACCTCGGTTGGAATGGGATGGAAATGGATTTCTCCACCTTCCTGAAGCATTAGGAGTAGCAACCGTCCCGCGGTACTGTACACGTGTAGTGGCAACCCACCCAGCTTAGCGCTAAGAACAATAAAATAGCGTTACGCTTTCAATTTCTCCGGCCATGACACGGTACCGGTACGGTACCGGTTGTTCTTGTACGGATCCCACGATCACGCATCTCGCGGCGAAAAACGGGTGCCCAAAAATGAATCTACTACTAGAACTGGCAGCCCACCGAAGCTAGCTAGCTAGAGTACCATATTCTCCCAGCTAGCCGCACGCGAGTCTCAACCAATCGAAACTTCTAGCTCTAGCTAGAATCAGTAACATCAAAAGCAATTTACGCCATTGGAGGAATGAGCCGAGGCTAAACTGAGCGTGGTCACCATTACCAATCACCTGAGCCTTCATATGTGATTCGGGAGATTTCTTCTTTTGGCTGCTCATCAGACATGATTGGTTTGCCTTTTTCCTCGAGAGCTGCGATCATGTCTTCGATATCATCGTGCTCAGCGGTC